AGCGTCGACGAGACTCGCCGCGAAATAGCGTTGGCGAAGATGCAGAGTAACAGCCGAGCCAAGCCGGGGTTTGGTGACTTCATTAATCGGGAGACGGGTAGGTTCTGCGCCACACCGAGATGTATCAAAGCGGGTCCAGGCTTAGTTTTAGTAGTTGCTCCGACTAAATTTCAGACTGTAATTAATCGCAACGCACATCTCTATTGAAGGAGAGTTGGGGGATGACTCCACACAACGTCGTAGTGGGTGAGTGTGACAAAACGTGGAGGAGGTGGTTTTACCTCGTTGCGATGGTTGTATGGCTTGATTAGAATCCCATGCCCACGACTTTCTCCAGTTCCAGCCTGTGTCCGTACGTATGGTCAGTGGTCAGGGCGTACAAGGTTCTTTTTGCTTTGAATTATCCAGTTTTTGCTGTGCTGTGAAGTAAGCCAAGAAATTTCGAGATTCTTCCCTTTTGTTTTCTGGAGTATGGGACTGTGTATTGATGGTTAGCTTTACAAGTTAGCATATTTGAAACCTCTTTAGCTCTGTTTGCTTGCTTTGTGGTTCTAAAGCAAAACCGAATACCAGGGATGCAAAAAGGAAGCCTTCAAGAAGTCTGCATTTGCATTCTCAAGATTTTAGTTTACAAATTTTTGTAGTTGCCTACTTTAAATTTGTGTCGCTTCCATAGGCGGATCCAGGGCGATCTCCTGGGTCCGCCTATGGAAGCGACATATATATAAAGGGAGGCTGCTTGGGGCAGGGGGGACAGAGTTTGTAGTGAAAGAAATGCTGCCTGAGCCCCTCGGGGAGGCAGAGCCCTCGCCCTCCCCTCCCTCTTGAATTCGCTAATGGTTGTTTCCTTTGCACATGTATGGTCTAAATTTGAGGTCGAAAGAGAGCATGGACTGAAAACGGGTTTTTTTTTTGTCTGAAATTGTCTTATGAATTAGTACACCGGAATTGCTACCTGGTGGCTTTTCTAATTTTTAGGTTACGGGTTTTTACGTGAATTCGAAGCTCAGGCTATCATCCGGCCCTGGAACTTTCATCCCTTGCCCTGGAGACAGCAAGGCATGGAGGTTTTGGTCTTTCGGCGTCTTAGGCTTCTAGCTTTCTCAGTTATCGAGCTGTAAAGTTTTCCCCGAGGTAGCCAGTCCAGGCATCCGGGCGACCGAGGGCAGATTTTAAGTTAGTTACCCGGTTCTGCTAAAAAATTTTCAGTTTACGGCTTTCACGATTGCAGAGTTAAGCTGAACTCGGTTATATGAGATTGCAGATCAGGTCAGATTGCGAAATGACTTTAAATTATTTCCAGGATGGGACCGCGCAACGAAGTCGTACTTGCAAAGTTCGATTATTATTTGCAGGTGTCTGGAAAGTATGGGGACATTTGGAGATGTTGGTGGCACACATGCAGACGCCACGCAAATTGGAAGCACCATCGATGCAGCTCCTTCGCAATCGGTACTGTGACATTTTTACACTAGAGCAGCTTCTTCCAGTTTATTCTCCCCGAAAATTCAATATATATTTTAGCGATACGGGTCTATATATATGTATATGTATTTTCGTAGCACTAAAACCCACTGGGCAGTCGGTGTTGGGATTTGATATTAGCCATGCTAATAATATTACGTTTGAGGCTGGCTCTTCCCTTTTATACGTTTTATGCTGTGTAACAGCAGTACAAAACCCATATTGTCACAGGGTGGTGTGTGTGTGTGTGTGTGTGTGCCCACAGTAACTTGTTGGTTTTGTGTGCAGCGCTTCTTCGGAGGTTGCTGGTCATTTTTTGCTGCTACCACTCATTGATACTCGGCGTACATCGGTTATCAGCAAGGCAGACAAAGTGTCTTGGTATTGGATTCCAAATTTTCTGCGTGTTTGTGATATCGTCCTGCACATTCTCCTCTAACGAAAAGTTTGATTATTTATCATTTGTTCCATTGCTGTTTCTTGCTGTGGCTGTGTGAAATCTCACTGACTTTTTTTGTCATGGCCACGTCAGTGGATGCTGTAATGCAGCATCAGGGCCAGATAATCCCTTTTTTTTTCTTCCAGATTGGGAGTGGTGTTTTCAGGAAAACAAGTCGATTGCGGAGATGCTACGGGAAACGGCCAATGAGTTTTTACGGGAAAGATTTCTTCAGGGATTTGAATTCGTCAAAGAACACAACCTTTACTATAACCCCGTGACAGGATATTATTACGATGAAGTATGACGACTTTTTGCTCATTGATAATACTATCCAGAATTTGAGAAACTTTTGATGCTGTTGGGTGCTACGCTGGCTCGCGCATCTCCGTTGTCCGCCCCGTGGAGGTGGATACTGTCTCCGAGAAATTCATCCCAGTAATTTCTGATAAAACAAAGTCCATATGAGAGGAAGGGATTAAGCTTGTGTTTTTGAATAAGCTTTTACGGATGGCCAACCGTAGAACGATGAGCCAGTGAATACAGAAATTCCGTGAGATGGCCTTTGATTTCAACGCATGGGAGAAAACAAAATATTAAATTACTTCGTTTTGTGAACTTATATCAGCCTACATTTAGAAGTACGGAGATAAATTAGGTAAAAGTAAGGTTTTCAAGTCATTTTGGCTATTCTACGCGATTAGCGAATCTGTTAGGATTTCGGGTTTCCACCTTCTCCGTTCTGAGTCACTCTTTCTGATTCTTGATGTGATAAATTTCGTGTTTTAAAATTACTGTTTGTCCCGCTGTTGGCAGGAGGCTCAAGTTTCTGCTTCTTGAATACAACAGAGCTGTTTGGCCAGAATACTCTTCATTTGTTTAAACTTAAGATTTTTGAGCCCATTTTTTGCGGCAGCTTATCACGGTCAAGCTAGCTTCTCGTGTTTCTTTGCATCACCGAAGTGGGGAAACGCAGTGGTAATTTGAGGCAGAGAGCGGCCGTGTGGAGGAGGAGGGAGAAATAGACTCACTAATATGGATTTCGCTCGGTTTATATTTGTGAGCAGTATAGCAGCTGTTTAATCGTACTCCTTTATCGAATGCCTTTTTCTCGAGAACCAAAGGCAGGGCCATAGCACATCGTCGTTTACGAATTGGGCGATGTGCTGTGGCCCGATCGATGGTTCTCGAGAAAAATGACTGAAGTTCTACAGAATCTGTTAAATATCTCTGCAGAACACGGGTCTCTTCTATCATGCAGCTACACGGTGCTACTATTACTACGATAGTCAAACGGACAACTATGTTTATTATTCGAGACTCCAGTGTGATCAGCTTTGGAGGGACAAACTGGCTGAAAGAAGGGCATTCACCTTATTTGGTTTGTTTTTCTAGATACTTGCATGATTGTTTGTGCTGCTCACCAAATTTGCTTTTTTCAGACCGATTTTAAACTGCTGCTCATTATGTGACCCGGAATTTCATTCTTGTCCATGTGGAGAAGAGAGCGGGAGGGGCTGGGTGAGGGGGAGGGCGTTTTTAGGAAACATTGCACGATCTTTGTTTGGTTTCCGATGCTTTGCGTTCAAGTATTTGCTTGTTTTGGAGGCCGAAATTCGTTTGCCGCTAGCACTTCTCCTCGCACTACTTTTTTTTGCTCCTTGCACTGTTTGCTGGTTGATTCACCTTCTACCTACTCGAATCGGTTTGCTTGCAGAATTTTAGCCAAGCTGGTGGTTTTTTTTTTGCAGCAAAAGAAGGCTTTTCCTCTTCTTGCCACTTAAGAGAGTTGTAGTGATACTAGGTAGTTGTTTAATATTTTTGTGGTTATTGGTTTGATTATTTTTTGAATTTTGACTCAATGTGTATATTTAAGGGGCATCATATGCGTCAGGCATGTCACAAGATGAAGTGGATGTTTTCGAGTGTCTCTGTTCGCTTTTGCGAGATGTTTCCCGTTTGGCAGACACTGATCAGCCAGGATGTGATGATCCATTGGAAGATGGGATTAGCACTCTTATTCAGAGTAAAATATACTTTTTATTAGTAATCTGCTTTGATATTTTGGTTACCGACAACGTAACAGCTGGCAATCTGTCTGTGGTCACAGTTGTCAAAACTGTATTACCTTGTTCTCAAGCTCGTAGCCTGAATCGGCATTATCTGGATTGCATTTTTGTTTCCTCATTTTTTCGCACTTCCTTTTTCATGGACCGTTATAGGTCGGCGTATCAGTAATTTGTTGCAGCTGGGCTGGTCTTCATTTTCTGTTCCCCCGCTTCTCGCTTTCACATAGTGATAGTTAGTCAGGACCCAGTATCTGCGCCTAATTCCAAAAGCTGCGCTAATTCTTGTAGTCTCAACAGTAATTTTCAGATGTACAGTTTCTTGTTAATGTGTTTCTGAATCTATGCAGTGCACAAAACGCATATTGTCCAAGGGGTGTGTGTGTGTGTCAGTGTGTGCGTTGCGTCCGTCCGGGTTTTTCAGTCTTGAAGTCTGCAAGAACTATATGCGAGCAAGGGACACTGTCTTAAATTTTCCGCATCTTAGTTTTCTTGGTTCTCGAGTTACTAATTTAGGCAATTAAAACTTTCACGTGATCGTACGTGAAGCCTAGGTGCGAGCGGACGCTGAATTTGAATTTGCGAGATGACACCGGGTAGGGGGTCGCCGCTTAAAATTTCGGCCTTCTAGCTTCTCTTGTTCCCGAGTTGAAACCCCCGAATAAAATGCATTCGGGTCACACAGAAACACAGACACACGGTCTTAGCAATGTGCGTTTTTATGCAACTATTGCGGCACAAACGCATACACTCGCCCCTGTGAGGCTGGTACGGTAGCAGCTAGGAATGCGTTTTTGCATATATGTAAATTGCAAAAACGCATATTGGGAAGAGGCTGTCTGTGTGTGTGTGCGTGTGTGTTATTGTGTGTTCGCACTTTTTGTCACTCACTTTCAACTCGAGACCCAGAAAAGCTAGAAGGCTGAAACTTTGGGGATGTGTGTCTATACCATGTGCGGCCCTCCCGTTTTAGTTTCATTCCCCTTGGGCGCCT